GTATCTGAATGGTGGGAATCAGACTTATCACTTGCTTTGTGGCTTATCTCCATTTTTCAATATCCTTTGCAACGAGCCCAACAATTTTGTAATTTAAGAGAAGTAATAATTTTCATAATTATTAGAAAATAAACTAAAGCCAAAGTTACATCGCTGGGAAATGGCCATCTTTCTCGTTGGTTCTGCAGCATTTACTGCACTTGCTTGAATACGGCTCCCTGGGGAGCAGGCCAAAGAGTAAGCTGAGAAGGCTCCCAGGAGCTCAGCAAGAACATCTGGAGGGAGGGAGGCTGGGATGAAAGGCAGGAGAGGCTGAGAAATCAGCCAACATCTGTCTCCTCTCACTCTTTCTACCTCCTTTTGTTCAGGCGGCTCACTTTGGTGAGGCGGAGGCATTTCTGAAATTCTGCACTGTGGGGAACTGCCCAGGCAGCCTCGCTGTTCTTCATGTCTGAGCATATGTGACTATTTTTCAGGGAATGCATGCAAGGGAATGTTCCTTTCTCTGGCTGGGCTTTAGTCCAAAGTATAGATTTACAGAGCTGGGGGCAGAATCCCTGAAATAACCTCATATTCCCCAGCACAGGATGGGGCAGCAAGCCTTTATCTCAGCAGGCTCTGGTGAGATCATCTTTTCATAAGGAAAGACCTTTAAACAATAGACAGCAGAGCCAAACCGTGCTGAAGAATCTTGGCCACACTGGAAAGGCGGGCATGGAACCTGCTTTCTTACCCAGTCAGCTCCTGGGGGAGGTATTCCCAAGACCAGGGATTTCCTGTGGTGTGATGGTTACTCAACTCCAGCCCAGTTGAACACTTGGGGCCAATCAGCAGGTACGTCTCTCCTTGGACACTGAGATGGAAGCTTGAAATGCTTGTGCAGACCCAAGGGACGTGGGCTGTGGCCTTTTACACTCTGAGATTACCGACATCAAACAGAATTCCAGAATTGTACATGTCACAGCACACAGTTTACAACCATGGGTTTCAGAAGAAAACTTCCGTTCTAGAGTAGATGGTCCCTTATGTGATGTGAGATCACAAATGTGTCTTCTTTACCCCCATTTCATCTCATGTCCACCCCACCACTCTGCTGTCATTCCATTAACATTCCATTCTGTATGATTAAGGAACCATCCAATTTTACAGAATTATGATTATCTCTGGAACAGTATCCTATCAGCTGTGGCCTCTTAAATGCGATTGAGTTCACTTACCCAGGTCCTGCTGGCTCATAAATGTTCCCTGCAGAGAGGGATAGTTATTAGGTGACGTCAGCACCAGGGAGGGTAACAATCCTATTAAAGACTTCACCTCAGGAAAGCAGGCGCAGGAGGATTCTAGAAGGCCAAAAATGGGTGTACTTAAGGGAGAGGCAGCTGGGGACCAAGAATATATAGTCAGTTCTCAATGCTCACAGATTCCAGATTTGTGAATTGACTTAGTCGAATGTATTTTTAACCCCCAAATCAATACCCTTGGCACTTTGGCAGTCATATGTGGATTTTCACAGAGCAGCGAAAACTTGGAGTCACCTGACTGTGTGGTCCCAGCTAGGGGTGGACGAGGCGGTGCTCCGCCTTTTCATTTCAGCTCTCAACACTGCAAACAAGGATCCTTTTGCAGATTGTACAGTTAGTGATATCACTGTTTAAAAAGGCCCCCCACGCACAGTGCTAAAGTGCTCTGGACTTCCTTTGCACAGGAAGGCTGCAATGTGCCTTACAGAAAGAAAAATGTGCATGTTATTATACGAGCTTCATTCAGGCATGAGTTACAGCACTGCTGGCTGGGAGTTCAGTGATAATGGATCAACAGTATATATCAAATATGGTATCTTTAACAAGAAACACACATAAAACAAGGTGAGGTGTTGATTGGTCGATGAAAATGTTGTGAGCAGAGGTTCCCAGGTACCTAAGCCTGTGCTTCCCCCAGGAGCAGGGGTTCAATACTTGCAGATTCACAGTGTTCATGGCAACTTTATAGAACATAATTACCCCAAACAATGAGAATCAACTGTGATCTTAAATTCTGGAAGGGGAAGAAACGGCAAATAGTAATTAACTATCGTTAGCGATAAAATGACACGTATTTGTGTCTTTCTATTATTAACATAAGAAGATGAATGAGAGAGTCAGTTTGGCAGTTTATAAAGTTTATCAAAATTGAGAACTCCTTGGAATACATCAATGTCTCAGAAAGATTCTAAAATTTCTCTTTAACTTCCTCCAAGGAGTTATTTGGGGCAGCAATTCTTTACCTTTGAAGATAATCTCGTTTGCTGGCATGTCCTTGTGGTACTCACTGGACGAAGCCTTCCTAGGGACTTCTACCCAGAAAGAGTTAGCCTTAAACTTAAATCCATTTTACCTGAACATTTGCCTACGATTTCCATAATTTTATTTTATATGACAAGCTAGTTTGCCTGAAATACCATTTCTAAATTACTAGAGGAACAATCCTTTACTAAGAAATATTATTTCTGATATCTGCTAGGTAATTAAGGGATTCTCTGTTCTGAAGTTAGATAAAGGTTTGAAGTGTGGCCATCTCTGTGAGGACTCTAGGTGACAGTTCTGAGCATGCTAATTTACCAGTCCTGGACTGTGAATTCCCAAGAGCCTCCACCCCAGAGAAGGGCGGGGACTGTTGATAGATATGGACTGACACACATACCCATCATGCAATTTGTATCGAAGCAACAGTCCTAGCCTTAATAGTGTTAGATTCGAACACACCTACATAGGTAAGAAGAAACCTTAGCTAATTGTTAACATCCATTTATGATGAATGCACAAGTGGTTCAATGAAAACTGGGCATCAGAAGAAATAGAGGTCAAGTCAAGTGGGGTTTGTCAGTCAGCCCATCCAGGTCTGCAAAGGGCCGGGGTGAGGGGTAGTGTGGGGTGGGCCGATACTAAAGAAATAGGTATTTGTCTCATACTTGAGGAAGGAATCAGGAGTAGAGAAAGGATCAAAGCTTTAAGGAGGATCTGCTTAGGTGACCAGAGGGATCCTCAGGACAGTTGAGGCTGAGGCTGCCAGGGGCACAGACTACAGACTTCCCGCCTGAACGGAACAGAACTGAGCCCTGGACGAACACTGTGTCCCTGCCTGAGGTCCACAGAATTCATTGCTCCCTGCATTTGGTAGGATTGCCTTAAGAGCCTGCTCTGGTTAGAGTGGAGACCAGGAGCTAAAACAGGCAGATAACTGGAAAGACAAAGGGGAGAGGGAGAAGAGGAGAGCGAAGCAGGGGGCCGGCCGCTCCCCTCTGAGCACTCCTGGAGCGGCGCGGCTGGGGATCTGAGGCCCAAGCAGTCAGGCTTTTAAGACAACTGGGGTCATTCTTTTGGTTTAGGGAAAATACTGACTTTACCTGTGGTTTCACCGTAGGAAGAAGAGAAATACTTAGAGAAATAGAATAACAGTATGCAGAGAGGAGTGATACATATCTGGGTTACCAATGGATTACTCAATGGATTCATATCAGGGATTTTAATGTTCCCCCCTTCAAGGGACAAGATGTGAACTAATTCTGTATGAATCCTGCGGTGTTATATTTGACACAGTCAGAGGCACAACAGATTTTTAAGCCAAATTTCCTTTATGCAGAAAGTTTCTAGGAGAGCAAAGCAGGGAGAGGAGCCTCCTTATTTCCTCTGTCGGTCTTTTAATCCAAACTTGATAAACAGGTCCCTGTTGTAACAGAGTTCTTCAGAGGGACAGAAGCTACAGGGTGGAGCTCATAGTCCATTCCGTTGTTGGCGTACTGAGCCACACCGCGGGCGTTCCTGGTCCCCAGCTTGGGAAGGCTTAGGTCTTATCGCCATCTTTCATTATCACATGAGCCAATTCCTCATAATAAATCTTGGGATGTGAAGATCCAAGATCTTCTGAGTCCACAGGTCTGAGAACCAGGAAAGCGTATGGTGGACATCCAAGTCCGGGGGTCGGGGAAGATGAGACATCCCAGCTCAGTAAGCAAGGCAGGAAAAGGGGGTGAATTCCCCCTCCTTCTGCCTTTTGTTCCAGTCGGGTCCCCGGGGATTGGATGATGCGCACTTGTACAGGGGAGGGTAATCTACTTTACGGAGGCTACTAATACAAACATTAATCTCATGCAGAAGCACTTTCATAAGCGCACCTAGAAATGTCTAATCTGGGCACCCCATAGTCAGCCAAGATGGCACATAAGATTAACCATCACATCTGTATTATTCACAGTTAATGCCAATAACTTACTATTTGTACGAGAAGTCTTTTTTTTAATTGCGAAAGCTTTCCAACTTGTTCCTACCCAGTATTTTTTCAGAAGCATGCAGCAGCTGATGGAGTACTTTGTTTCTCACACAGATAAAGATAACTAAAGCACAAACTGTTTGTGGGTCCAAATGTTGTTTATGCAAAGTTCAGAGCAAAGTATTTGGTTTGTAAATAGTAGTTTAAACAAACATCTTTAAGACATGTGTGGTTTATCTAGTAACGCTGTATTCTCTGCTCCTGATCATGGAAGTGGGGTGTGTGTGACATGACCTATAGCAAAATCGTCTTCAGAATAGCCAGTCAAGCACAACACTTGAGGAAAATGTGACTTCAGAAGAAGTAATAGCGTTTTCTGACCCACTCGAAACTCCTGAAGTGGCTGAGATCTGGTTACAGCCAACACACAGTCAGGCCTGCGGTAGAAAGTACCGGTCCTGCCTTCCCTGTCTCCCTCCCAGATTCCATTCGTCCTCTTAACCCCTTTAATTCTGCTTTCATAATTCCACCCTTCTCTCATTAGCTGAGCTGATCCACGAACCACCCACGAGAACAGGAGATTGAGGAAATTAGAATCACGTGGTTGGAGAATGAGGCGGGAAGAAGCTAGAGCGACATTATCATGAAGCCTGAGACCCTTCTCCATGCAAGTGCTCACCTCCACCTAGTGTACCTTAAGTAGGTTATTCTGCATAAAGGCCATTTTATGGTGCCCCACCTGGAGTCACATCATAAAAAGCTGCCTTATTTACATGGGGAGCAAAACCATTTAACCCAGTTGAATCGGCAGCGGGAGCAGAGCGCACAGGTAATGCAGGCAGTTGCGGCTGTCTGGTCGGGGGGCAAAAGGCCAGCCCAGTAAGGTCCTCAGCTCCACTCTCCTGCTTCTTTCGTTTTGCTGGAATTTCATACTCACTTCTTCTGGTTGGATGACTAAGCCGGACGGTGGGAGGGAGGGGAGGCCGGCGTGGACTCGCGGGCCCTGCTCAGCCCCGGGAGTGGAGGCCAGAGAGCCGTGCCTCCCCGCGACCGCCCGGCCTGGTTACCGTCGCGCGGTCCCGGGGAGGAGGCGCCGAGGCCCCGCCAGCCCCAGTCACCGTCCCTGCACTGCGGGCGGCGAGGCCGAGACCCAGCCGCGCCCCCGCCGCCCTCCCCGGCTCACCACGCCCGTCACCACGCGCAGGGGCGCGGGCGGTATCGGGAGGCGCCCGCCAACGGGAACAAGGAGTCATCGCAGGGAAGGTTCTGGGAGCAGCCGAATGGCTCGGTGTGCGTGGGAAACGGATGCGGTTTCAGCAGCAGGACTGACTCGAGGAGGCTGCATTTGCCCAGCAGGCTGCCCGGCGAGGCCGAAGCCCGGGCACTACCTTCGCGGCGCCCGGCACCCAGACGCTGTGGAGGCCGGCGCTGGTGCAGGGGGAAGGGGTGCGGAGGCGGCAGGGGTGTCCGGCCCTGGTGGGGTCCAGGGCGAGGCGGTAAACGCGCACAGGGTGACCATTCCAGACGCTGTGCACGTCCAGGGCTCCTGCCCGCAGTCACCAGGGTGGGGAGGGAAGGGGGAGGGCGAGTGCCCCCCACCAGGCCAGGCCCTCAGCGCCCGCCCTGCTGCAGGCGGCGGCGCCCACCTCCGCCCAGCGGAGACCTCGGGGCGTGGGCCCCGCATTCCAGCCTCCTGTGCTGGGAGAAGCGATGGAGTGGCTGACACCCAGGGGCAGGAAGCAGGACAGAACAGTGAGGCAGCATATGTGCCACGATTACGCAGGATCCTGCTCACCCAAGAGCCTAGCGAGGTGGGCAAGGAAGAGGCTAAGGAAAATCCAGGAGAGGGGACCCCAGGTCAGCGGTCACCTTAACGTTGGTACCGCTGCAACTTAGTTAACGACGCAGAAGCCCAGAAAACCCCTAAACCTCAAGATGGCCAAGCAGCAGCGATCCACCAGCTGACATTTCCTCCACTCCCGGGGCTGAGCAGGGCGCGCGAGTCCACGCCGGCCTCCCCTCCCTCCCACCGTCCGGCTTAGTCATCCAACCAGAAGAACTGAGTATGAAATTCCAGCAATACGAAAGGGGCAGGAGAGTGGAGCTGAGGACCTTACTGGGCTGGCCTTTTGCCCCCCCGACCAGACAGCCGCAACTGCCTGCGTTACCTGTGTCGCAGGGGTTTTATTTAATTCTTACCTAAAGATGTCTTTTTGGTCATGACAAACGTGTTTGTTTTGCTTTTTTAAAACCTGGTTTTTCTCAAGATACCTTTAAAAGTTTTAAATTGTTTTCATCTCCGGTCAAGTGGAGATTTTTAAGAACCTCATTTTCAATTTGTAATAAAACTTTACAACCTGATTTTTCTCAAAAAAGCCAACAAATGGCCAGCACCTGTTAACAAAGGTCTAACATAATAATACTAAAAAACTAAAAACATCTAACCTCAGGGGCCCCAGAGCCTGGCGGAGTAGTACCCTGCTGAACTCAGTCAAGGCCGGCGGCTTGGGAGAACCAAGGGAAAGGGCACTTCACACTGGCGGTGCAACTCGGACCTGGCAGCCATTGAATTTGGGGTTTGTATCTATGATGTCATTAATCCTGACAACTTTGTAGGGTGGTTGGGGTTATTCTCATTTGGCCAGTGGGTCACAAGTTCTGAGAGGTGAGAGACGTGTCCAACTTCCTAGACCTAGAAAGTGGTAAAGCAGGAATTTAAGTCCAAATCTCTTTAAATTGCAAAGGTGATGCTTTCTCTACTTGTTTCCAAAAATCAGTATTTCATCAACAACTACTGAGCACCTGCTATGTGCCGGGGACTTGCTGGGGTGGAAAATACAAGGATGAGTAAACATACAGTCCTGCCCCCAGGGAGCTCATAGGCCAGCAGGAAATGGTGCCCACAGATGCAGATGTGTTACGGTGTGCATGCAGATGACTGTGGGAGCAGAGAGGAGAGGCATCTGGCTGAGTCTGTGTTGGTCAGAGGCATCAATCCAGACAAAATATGTCTACAGCTTAAAAGACAGTACTTCTCAAATTTTCACATAAATATGAATCACTCTGGGATCTTGTTAAAAATGTAGGTTCCGACGCAGTGGGTCTGGGGTTAGCCCTTTGTGTCTGCATTTCTAACAAGCACCCAGGAGAGGCTAATGCTACAGGTCCATGGATCACACTGGTTGGTTATAAGACTAAAGGGAAGGTAAGGGTTGGCCGGGTAAAGAGGTATGTTCAGAGAACTTTCCCAGTCAAGATGCAGAATGTGCACCGAATCAGGGAGAAAAGGAATAAGACTGACTTCAGGGAACTTCTGTTGATCTCACTCATCAGCCTGGATTGTAGGGCATAAAGTGGTGAAATATAGCCTGACATGGGGGCTGGAGGTGACAGCAAAGAAGTAAGCCGAAGTACATTACCCAGGCTTAGTCAGGAGCAATGCCTAACCCTGAGGGCAGTGAGATGCCATTAAATGTTTTTAGCGGATGAATTCTTTTTTCAATTTGGGCTTTGCAAAAAGCATCCTGGCTATAGCATAGAAAAGCATCAGAATGGTGTTTTCAAACCTGCTGCATATTAGAATTACCTGGAGAGCTTTAGAAAATAACAATGTTCAGTCCCCATGTCAGAAAATTAAGGAAGATCTCTAAAGTGGATCTTCTCAGCGTCGCACTTTGCCCAGCAGCATCAACAGCCTGGGACCCTGTTAGAAATGCAAATTCCCAGGCCCCATGTCAGATTTACTGATCAGGACCTCTGAGCGTGGGCCCAGCGGTCTGGGATCTAACAAGCACACCCACTCCCCCACTGCCAAGACTCTGATGCAGCTAATATTTGAGAACCACTGGATTAGAAGGAGAAAAGTAGGGAGAAGCTTCTTTACCAATTAGGAAGCCAAGAGGTGATGGCACTGTTTCAGCCCCATATCAAGCTTTATTAGCCCTGCTGAGCGAGAGAGACCCCATCGCAGGGGAGGCTGGATGCTGGCTAGTTGTGGGGTGGTTTCTGAGTGGATTAGTAAGGGCCATTTGGGCAGGGACTGGTCCAACTTATCAGTGAAGTAAGCTTGTATGTGGTAGACTTGTGAATTGTGTCCCTGAAAATTCCTGTGCTGAAACCCCAACCCCCACTGTGATGTATCTGGAGGTGGAACCTTTGGGAAATACCTTCAGATCAGGTCAGGAGGGTGGGCCTCATGATGGGATTAGTACTTTTATAAGAAGAGATGCCAGAAATCTTGCACGCATTTGCTTTCTCTCCCTTTTCCACCACACATGTAGCAAGAAGGCAGCCAGCCATCTACAAGCCAGAAGAGAGCTCTCACCAGAAACTGGCTATGCTGGTAAGTCTGTCTCGGACCTCCCACTTCCAGAACAGTGAATAAATGCATTTCTGTTGTTAAAGCCACTCAGTCTAAGGTATTCTGCTATGGCAATCTGTGCTAAGACCCTTCTGGACTAGTAAGCAGTCTCACTGGGACATGTGGGTCCCTGTGAAGTTACCGTTAAATACTTGGTGCTCTTGAGTTTTAGCTATAACTGAGCTTAGCTAGCTTGGGTTGCAAGCTGTCAGTTTTGCAATTGTGCAATTGTTTCATTTGCTTAGTAGCCAAAACTAAGGCAGAGGTATGAGTAACTGGAATTGAAAACCTATAATAGGGTTGCCAGATAAATTATAGGATGCCCTGTTAAATTTGAATTTCTGGTAAACAATTCATTTTTTAGTATAAGTACATCCCAAATAGTGCACAGATTATACTACCCCTAAAAAAATCATCATTCATTGCCTGAAATTAAAACTTAACTGGTGTCCTTTATTTTTATTTACTAAACTGGAAAGCCTCACCTATGAAGAACTAATATAGATAGATGAATTTTTATGAAATGAATGATGTGGCTAATTAGATGTACAGTGAGGGGAGTGATGTGGGTCAATGATGACCTACAGGTTTCTGGCTTGGAAACTGGGTAAAGCTTGGTACCTTCCAGGAATGTAAGGGACACTGGAGGGAAAGCTGATTAGGGAGGAGGGACAAAGTGCTAAGTGACATTTTGGACATGCGGAGATGAAGTCTGTCTGGAGTGTACAGGCAGATAAAACCAGGACGCTGTTAGAGGTACAGTCCCACAGGTAAGCAGGAAGATAGGGATGGGATCACAGAAAATAGGTAGAAAAGAGGGAGATGTTCAAGATGAAAGAGGAGACAGACTGAGGTACTGGCAGTGTTGGCAGACCACATGCAGAGCCCGGGAGAAGGGCTCTTCGGACAAGAGGAGCCCTTTTTTACTTTTGGCAGGAAGGAGAGTGGACAGGATGCTGTGTGTGCAGGGAACTCGTGGGCTCGGTAGAAGGAAACAGACTTGGGGCCAGAGCTCTGGGCGTACCTCACCTAAGGAATTCTTTTCCCTTTGTGACTTGCTCATTCCAGTTGTATTGTGAGTATTATACCGAATAAATATTGTATTGATCAATGTAAAGTGATGGAACTAGGGTCTGAAGTAAAATGGATGTTTATATGAAAGCTAAGCTTTGGAAAAGTTTTAAAACCCTGACTTGCTCCTTTGTTCCTTTTCTTTTTGACTAAAGTAGCTGTGAGTGGCACACTGTGAATGTTTGGATTTAAAAAATCTAGTAAGATATGGCACTCACATTTGCTTCGCCTAAAGAAATTCAAATTGGATAACACAAATAATAAATCGTTGGTATGACCTCTGCAGAACTCTAATTAAGGGGCCCCTTCAAAAATGCCTTGGTCCTAACTTAGAAGATTAAAAAATGGAGGATACTTTTTAGGTTAAGTAAATGTTTAGGTTATACAGGTATCATTTGTTAACGGAGTTCTTGTTTTTTAAGAGTACTTGACAACAATGACTTTTCTAGTTTTATTGACAGGACAAAAATTGCACACATTTAAGGTCTACAATGTGATGTTTTGATATATACAGATTGTGAAATGATTGCCAAAATCAAGCTAATTAACATTTCCATCACCTCACATAGTTGCCGTGTGTGTGTGATAAGAACACTTTGAATCTATCTCCTGGCACATTTCAAGTACACAGTACCTTATTAACTATAATCACCATGTTGTACATTAGGTCTCCAGAACTAAATCAACTGATAACAAAATTTGTGCCCTTTGACCAACATCTTCCTTGCCCCCCACCCCCAGCCCCTGGGCACCACCATTCTATAATCTGTTACGAGTTTTTCAGATACAACATATAATTGAGACCATGGAGTATTTGTCTTTTTTAGTCTGGCTTATTTCACTTAGCATAATGGTCTCCAGGTTCATCCATGTTGTCACAAATAGAATTTTCTTTTTTAAGCCTAAATAATATCATATATACAACATTTTCATTTCCATCCATCCATCAACAGACACACCGTTTCCATATCCGGCTACTGTGAATAAAGCCGCAGTGAACACGGGAGTGCAGACATCTCTTCAAGACCCTGATACCATTCCCTTCAGCTAGACAACCAGGAGAGTGGGATTGCTGGATCACAGAGTAGTTCTGCTTTCAAGGAAACTGCTGTTTTTCACAGTGGCTGCACCAATTTATCTTCCCACCCACAGCGCACAAGGGTTCCCTTTCCCACATCCTCACGAACACGTGTTACCTTTTGGCTTTTTGAGAAGAGCCACCCTAGTGGGTGTAGGTGATCTCACTGTGGTCTTGATTTCCCCGATAATAGTGATGTGGAACACATTTTCAGGAACCTGTTGGTCACTTGTGTGTTGTCTTTGGAAAAATGTCTGTACAGGTCCTTTGCCCATTTTTAAATTGAGGTGTTCGGAGTTCTTATTTTTCCTATGGAGTTACATCAGTTCCTTATATATTTGGCTACTTTGTCCCTTATCAGATAAATGGCTTGCAAACATTTTTTCCCATTCCACAGGTTGACTTTTCTTTTTTTGGTGGTTTCCTTTGCAGCACAGAAGTTTTTTAGTTCATCATTCCACTTGTTTGTTTTTGCTTTTGGTGTCAGATACAGAAAAATCACTGCCAAGACCTATCAAGGAGCTTACCTCCTACATTTTCTTCTAGGAGTGTTATGGTTTCAAGTCTTGCATTCAAGTTTTCAGTCCATTTTGAGTTGATCTTTGTGCATGCTCTAAGAGAAGTCCAGTGTCATTCTTTTGCCAGTTTTCTCAACACCATTTATTGAAGAGACTGTTTTTTTACCATTGTATATTCTTGGCTCCTTTGTGGAAAATTAATAGACTCTATATGCATATGCATGGGTTTATGTCCAGACTCTATTCTGTTTCATTGATTTGTATTTGTTTTTATGCCAATATAATACTGTTCTGATTACTAGAGTAAAAGTAAGAGACATGGTAGCCTTAAGAGACCAGTCTGGGTATGGAAGGAAATAAAGACTGTGTGTGTGTGTGTGTGTGTGTGTGTGTGTGTGTGTGTGTGTGTGTGTCTGTATGTGCACATGTAGGAAGTCGGTTAATAAGGAGAAATGAGAGGGGTCAGAGGAGCAGTCATCTAAATGAAGATTAAAGCACAAGAGGATTTTTTCTCCTACCTCCTTTAACAAAGAAAGTATCTCTCGGAGCAGTGGCTCTCCTTTGGGTGGGTGGGGGCTTCTGCACCCTCCCTCTCCAAGGACTGTGGCAGTGTCTGGAGACATTTCTGGTTGTTTCAGTGGGGGTTGCTACTAGCACCTAGAGGAGAAGGGCCCGGGATGCTGCTAAGGTTCCTGCAGTGCAGTGCACAGGGCAGCCACCACAACAGAGAATTACCCAGCTGGAAATGTCAACAGTGATGACGTAGAGGAACCCTGCTTTAGAGAGTGTCCTAACCTGAAACGTGAAGTGTCCCCCAAAATAAAAACATTATGCATGATTTTTAAGGACATGCCTGGCTAAGGAACCCCAGTTTCTTGAAGTTTATCCTGCTGTGAAGGTGAATGTGAAGGTCTGTGCGTGGGAGGGTAGATTTCAGGAATCCCTCGGAAGACGGTGGGTGTGACTGGAGCCTTCAAGCCACCCACCATGGCCTGGTACCAGATGTCACCCCTACGTAACAGATTCCCTCCGACAGAGGCTCAGCCCCTGGGTCTGCCTCATGGTGTGGGATGTCCCTTCAGCCCCCAAAGATGCCCTCTTATTTGACTTGGAGGCAGTCCCCATTATTTAAAATGCCCTCTTTCTATTTATATAAGTTTGGATTGTTTCCATAGCTGGGGAATGGCTACACGATTTTTTTCAAAGTGCCACAGATATTCAACTTCACAGCTATACTCTTATGCTGTTATTTTTTTCCTTTTGTGTGTTATTTATAGACCGAGCATCTAAATCTACTGACAAAAGGGAATGGATCTTTTGTAGCTGGTCTGTTTCCCTGAAAATGCTAGCAAATTTTCTTCTTGCATTCTAAAAATAGACAACTTCTGTATTCTGTTTTGCTACAGAGGGAGGGTCACTTGTGATTGCTCACTAGATGTTATATTTGGAAAACGGTCTCTGTGCTCTGCTCCCCAAACATGGGGAAACTCCGTTATGATGAAGATCATACAGCATGAGAAGCCTCCCCAAGTCTAGGTGACACGGGTCAAACCAACAGCACGTGTGAATGGGGCTTCGGCTCCCAGACCTTAGCAGGCCCAGAACCACCCAGAGGATTTGTTGAAACACAGATTGCTGGGCCCCATTCCCCCAGTTTCTGAATCATGCCCAGGGTGAGGTCCAAGAATTCGCATTTCTGACAAGCTCCCAGGTGATGCTGGTCCTTATGCCAGGACCACGTACTGAGAATCATTGGATTTTTAATTTTTCATGAATTCTGTTTCAGTGTTAGGTTATGAGGCTCAGACATAAAGAGATGATTTCTTAAATATACAGTATGCTAATGTTAGAGAAAAACTTGACTTAGTTCTTTTAATGGGTATTCCTGTGAACATACATATCTAGGAGTGAAAAACTAAGCCTTAAGATGGCTATGATTTTTCATGACTTGATTGACTTATAACCTGTTGAAAAGAGTGGATTTAATAAATGCTTACCAAAATTGTATGTATGTGAACATTAAAATCTAGGGCTAAAATGAGAGGTAGGCTCTAGGCAGTGGGCCTGAGCAACCATGTTCCTCATTTATATAAAATACCAGGTAGATATCCTATTAATAATGACACTATCCTTTTTGTATTTTGTTCAATCTTTTGGCTTAAAATCACAAATCACTGTTTAGGAATTTTCTCATGCTTTGGAAACTTTCACTCCTAATTTGAAGATATGGCTATATTCTTCTGTCTCTTTAAAAAATTTAATATTTTTGTAGAGACTACATTCCACAAGATAGATAAGAATAAAATTAAGTCGAC